ATCAAGGGGATATAATTAAATTAGATTTGGGTTTCGAGATTATGGATACAGATCATAATGCTACTGAAGATGGTTATGTCCGTTTTAGTATTTCTATGCATGATCAAGGTAAAAAACAATTTGTTTGTTTTGAATATTGACTAATTGATTGATTGATTGGTGGTTCTTTTTTTAAATTAGAATATAATCCATATAATGATACACTTGCTAGTGGAACTGATGATTATTCAACTTTTGTCAAATCGCTTAAAGAAACTGGTTCATATCCTCCAGGAAATGTAAGTGATGTTTAAATGTAAGTGATGTTATTATTAATTATTAAATAATCACGAATAATATATTTTAGGCGTATGTTTTGAGAATATTAAGAAAACAAAGGACCATATTAAAAGATTCATTTCTAAATAATTTGGGACTTCCACAAAGGTACCCCAACAAACCTTATGTTGTAGCAAATGATCGTAAGTTATACAAATTCTATTGTTATTATGAAATATGCACAAATAAACAAATCAGTAAATGAATTAATTTATTTAGGTTTTGCTGAAGCGATAGGGAATACAAGCTTTGCAAATTTCTACATACAGCCTCAGAATTTTTTGCTTGAAACTGAGGTTGAACAAAGGTGAGTAGATTGAGTGATCAAATCGGTTGATGAATTGGTCAAATAGTAATTCTTAATTTCTAATAATCATCGATTTTTTTTTTAATATAGAAATAAAAATGTAAGCATATTAATTAATTATTGCCATTATAATTATCATTAATCATTTCATTAACTTTGTCAATTGTATCAATAAGGCTCTGTCTGTTATTTCAAATGTACTTGCTGTATGGGGAGGATTGACAGCACTTTACATATTTTTATTTGGTAATTATTATGTTAATTATTGCATAATATATATATATATACATATCGCATAGTATTCATCTTTACAATTAATTATTTTAGGTGCTGATTCGATTAAACCATGGGGATTTATACAAGAAAGGATTCTTAAAAATGTAATGCATAATAAATTGAGGACCGCGCCATTTAAAAAGGAAGGAACTCCTGAGGAAAGGATTGAAGCATTGGAAACATTTCTTAAAGACTATGTTATCGATGTTGGTTTGATAGATCAATTAAATAAATTACCATACAAAAGTCATGAAGATGAAGAAAAATAATGATATATTTACATTTCATTTATTTATAAATACTTGTTTGAAAATAAGACTTATTTATGATTAAATTTATAATTAATTTTTATTATTATAAAAAATAAAAACAATGGGATAATTATTGAAATATGAAATATCTGATAAATAATGATGATGACGAAAGAATTAATGATGAACCAATAATTTTTCAAAAGAAGACTTTTAATATCAAAATCATAATAGTAACGATAATAATAACCAATGACCTTTTGACTGAAATTGTTATTATATTTTGCTGGTTCTGTTGCTTTGCCTTAAATATCAAGATATTTACTATGCAAAACAGGTACAATGAAAAGATGTTAACTCAAAATTGCTTTTTTCGCAACATGGTTCCGTTTCTATTGCCTACGCCCATACATTGTACAAATACATAACATTTGTGTATGTTCATATACACAAATTAGAGATTGGGAACTTACTCAAATTGACTGATTATTTATCAGATATATTTTTTTCCATTTTTCACTCATCAAAAATTATGCAATCAAATATTAATACAAATTTAATATATTACGACAACCCTACCCTAATACTAAGCCTAGAAACATATCATCAAATTAATCACCTTTAAATACATGCTTAAAGAAAGGATTATCGCTTGGAAGTATTTAAACAGAAAGATAATGCTGTGAAATGTGGAAAAAGTATTGAAATTTTTTCAAAATACTAATGGGATTTAAATGCATAACATAATATTGATAAAGATGATAGATAGTAAATAAAAAGGTATATATACATATTATTTATATTTACATGTTTTTAAGATTCAACCACATAATTCTAAAAACATTTATAATCACATTTCCAATCCATTCTTTCAAGAAATTTTAATAATCCCAGTGGCGTCGTTTCCTAGTGAGAGGATGTTCAGCATTCTCGATAATAATATAACCAATAAACGCACAAATCTTGAAGCCAAGTGTTATAGAAAATTGATATTTTAAAAAAATAAATTTCTTCGTTTTCATTTATGTTTCTTTATTCTGGTGCTAATTAATTGTCATTTATCTTCACGCTATTGCATCTGTTCTTTTTATAAGTATTTTATTATCCTTTCGGTATTCATTTCTTTCTTGTGTCATATAATAATATTAAGTTTGGT